GTGCCCGTATTAGGGCGGGATCGGAGTCCAAGCAGGTACTCCAGAATGAGCGACAATCTTCTACCGACCCTCTCCAACGATGACTGATGGCAATATGGTCTATTTGAGTCCATCGTTGATTTGGTGTAGGAGGTCGCCATGTTGGACGATGTCTCTCCTTATGCATTAAAGTCGCCCCCTACGAGTACTATGTCTAAGCGTTTAGCTTTCTGTAGAAGTTCGAACAGCCTTCTGTAAAATTCATCTTTCACTTCATCTGAGCTGCAGTCAGTGGGAGCGTAGGCAGAAACGACAAAAAGGCAACGACGTGTGTCCCTATCCTTCCGAGTTCTTACGTAGCCGTTTAGCCGAACAGCACATAAACGACTGTTGACGGGGATCCACTCTAGCAGTGGTTGTTCGGCCCTCACGCTTAGTGCAATGCCTACACGTGCCGGTCCACGAGAACTGGCCATCGGGTCATCAGAAATTTGGGGATAATTTTTTTGAACTAAAGTCAGTCAGTAACAACGTAGAACTTCGTACGTACGTACATCAGTTCGAGTTGCCATACCACATTCGCACAGTGGTGCAGTTGTCGATTCAAATCCCGTAGTGGTAGAGGTAGTGAACAAAAGTGAGGCTATAAGGTGATTTTATAAACGCTCGTTAATTAAGCTTAATAGTCAATGATTGTAAAAATTGCACAATAATATTTACACACCAGTAAACGGATAAACAACTCTCATAGTGAAACGCATTATTGGAATTATCCCAAGTGTAAAAATAACTAGGTGTTTGAACGAATTAATTGTGTATCAGTGAATACAGATGACCAGTAAGCTGCAAATACAGTAACGCCACAAATTTCATAAAAATTAAACTCTTAGTATATTGTCAAGAATTTATAATAACGAACTCATTGTGAACTGATTTAACAGGATACAAAAAGGATAACTAGCACATAAAATAGTAAAAAAACATTAAAATATGTTTAAAGTTCAATAAGTAAGGTTTTAACTGTCACCAACCAACTGTCTAGAGATATTACGTAACTGATAATTTTTGGAAGGTCAGATAGAGAACATTCTATTAAATATCATCTGTTGCCAATATCTAGAGCAAATACATGTTTAGACACTCATTTGAAGTCCAAATTTCATAGAAATTGTTCATTCAAAGATCACAAAATTCTTCCATGTGCTACAATATTCATTGTATTTTACCCGAATCTACCAACACCAAATTTTGGAACTATTCATGTGTAGTGCTAAACAACACTTATTATCACTGCACTGATGTCAGTAAAACTCCAAGTTGTTTTTAATCATATCATGATGATTTACTCTTTCTAATGGATGAAACAATCGACTTATTAGTACATTAAATCAGTGTTGTAGGAAAGCTAAGACTGGAATGACAAACACAAGGACTGAGTTATGAAAGACTTACTTCATCGATATCGAATGGCAACTCATCTTCAGATTGCGAAGACATCACCGTCAATCAGAACACCTAAACCAAGAGTTTGTGAATTAAAACAGAAGCAAAAAACAAACAGAAAAAACTATGTGTGCATCAAGGTTTATTTTGAATACTGATACTAATTACATCAAACAAGTGTTTGGAACTATCACCACTAATCATAGATATCGTGCCGATCACATAGATACTGGATGATATCTTGAGGCGAGAAAAAACGTTGAGAATCCATATCGGGAATTTCAATACCTGAAGATTATTAAATCAAAAACCTTACCGAACTCTTCTTCTATTGCCATGACAAGCTCTACATGATCTAAACTGTCTATTCCAAAGTCTTCATTGAATCTAGAATTTAGTGTTATCTATAACTTATTGGGGGATACTAACTAAACCAACTTTGTACGGATCGATTTTATCGTAGAGTCTTAACACGAGCATCACTCGATCTTCGATCATTGTTTTGGTTAATGGTACACCATGCCCATAGAATCTGCAGGGAATGGGTAGTGAAAATGTTTTAAACGGGGTGACTAAACATTTTTTTGATGCTACAAAAGTCTTAGATATTGTTGAATAGTTTGCAATTAAGCACGCGCGTCGAAACCCACATAATACCGCGGACATGAAACTAATATTCATATCGTTGCAGTCCTCAAGGTTATCGGTGGTTTCGGATTTTGCGGTTAGAATTTGAAGGGTGATTGACTTGTTTTAACACTTATTCGGTTGGTCACTTTGGTTAGCTATTCACTGAAATAAACGAAACTATGACACAAAAATTGTTCATCAAGATCACACACTATAAGAGTTTCAATTGATCTTTGGGGGGACAGTAGCTTAAATAAAAACTGGTATTTTTCTTCACTGAGTTAATTCTGTTGTTCCGATCGTTTATTACGTGTCAGTGTTAGATTCAAATTCAGATTTGAGTTGTAAGGACAGAAGGCCTACGGCCTATGTTATTCCTTTTCTGGTATGCTTCTGTGAGTGTCCAGCCTTCTCTTGAAGGAGTCAGTTGAAGGTGCGGACACCACTGCTTCAGGCAGCAGGTTCCAAGTATTGAGGACTTGGTGTGAAAACCTGTATATCACGGGCTTTTTGTTCGTTCTTGGCTTTTCTACTGGCCTGCTATGTCCTCTGAGGTGTCCCGATCTAGTGTGAAGAAAGAGAGAGAATAAGTTAGGTCTGAAATCATTTCTCAGTATTCTGTACATCAAAATTAGATCTTACCTTAGTCTGCGATAGGACAAAATAAAGAGGTGCAGTTTTTCAAGCCGCTCTTTATATGAAAAACCCCAAAGTTCCGGAATTGCACGGGTAGCTGCCCTCTGTACTTTTTCTAGTATGTCCGAGTCACCTTTTAAGCAGAGGCTTGCAGCCTGGACGCAGTTCTCTAGCTTAGTTCTCACTTTAATTGAGTTTATTTTAGCCAAACTATCCGAAAAGATGATCGTTTTTTATCCTTAAGTAGTCTATCGTCTGTACATTCGAGTACTTTGTTTTCTATTTCATTTGTTAGTAATTTTGTTTCTAACAGTCTGCAGTTTTCCACTTTTTCTGGTCATAGATCAACTTTGTCCCTGGGTGCTATTGTATCTTGTTTCTTCTTGAGAACCTCTGTGCGATGACTGGATAGTGCAAGAAATGCAATTGTCAACGTCCGAGCGGTCGATATTCCATTTGAAGCGGCATAAAGTGCGATGAGTGCAAATGCGTGTACCACAAAGTTTGTACAAATTTGACGCCTGCAGCTTTCAAACTCTTTAGCAAAACCGGTTCATGATTCATTGGGGAGGTCCGCATCCTTCTCCACAAGAGAAGAAAAATGTGGAATAGATTTAGGTTACGGGGGACTGATGAGAATGAGTAGTATATGTACTAGAGTGTTAATCCTGACAGTGATGGTCTCTCAGTTTATCCGAATTTCTTTCGAAAGAGTCGACGGATGGAGCCTCAACTACGCGCTGAGTTAATGAATTACACTCGTTAATGTTTCGATGAGAAAGTCCATTTTCAGCTGACAAATAATTTGTCCTGGGCTAATGAACTTTTTTGAATTGTCCTCGTAAATTCTCTATCTTGGAAAACAAGAAAGATGAGCGCATATCAGGTGCAAATTTATTGCTAAGTAATTTGAAAACCGCAATCAAATCACCTCTAGTTCTTCGATATGAAAACGATAATAGGTTTAGCATGGCCAGTCGAGCATCATACGGGAGCTGCACTATTCCGGAAATCAGGTTAGTTGTTGTTCTCTGAAACTTTTCCTAAAGCTCATTGTTTTTTTGGACAGGGGCTAGCCGCTTGTATGCAGTACTCAAGTTTAGGACACACGAACACTGTATACAAAGTCAAAAAATTTAAGTGTCGACATGACTAAGGGCCGTAAGCATTGACCATAAAGTTGAAAAACTTTTAGCGGCTATTGCGCGGCAGTGTGTAGTAGTTCTTCAGTATTGGCTTACGATGACTCCTAAATCATTTATGAACTAGATGGTCAATCCATGTCTCGTTCTCATTGTTATAGTACAGTTACAGATCTCTGGTTGCTTTTGACGAAGCTCTGCTAGCCACCTGACATGGCAATTGTGATGTAATGGAATAACTTCAGGATTTACTTAGACAACTTTAGGGTGCACTGTAATGACATGAGTCCACACTGTTCGGTGTATTAGTTGCCCGGTGTGTTTCAAGTACTTAAATATAAACATAACAATTATATATGAGCAACAGAGAGATGGATGGGCATGCAATTAAACAAAATGAGACAAGAACTAATCATACAAGCTTATTAACACGACTGGGGGTTTAACTTTAGATGTTACATCCTTGATGTACGGTGTCATATGAATTTCACATATCCGTACCAGCCATCTCGGCTCGTTCTTCTGTAACCCATCGAGAATAAAAACTAGAGATTTCTCTCTCTCAGCTGACTTGTTTCCCGTTCTTATTAATGCTGCATTGTAACAACACTGATTCGCAACCACATGGTCTTCTAAGATAAATGTATAGTGACTTAGAGGATTGCTATGAATGTTGAATCGACGAAAATTAGTAGTCAAAATTGGTTAAGATAGGAACGTGATCGTGACGACAAGGGTGGGTTGTGTGGGCGTGGTCTCTATACATACTTCTTTCATCCTTGCAATGAATATACTATTCTGCCTGTATGACACTATTTTGGTCTTTGAAAATTCATATACTGCAGCATAGCCCAACCGCAAGGATGAGTAGTATTGACTTTTCACTTGGAACCAGTTTCAAAGGTCTTTGTTTTATATACTTGATATTTAATTTATTTCTCCATGTTCATGCTTTATTAGGTTTTTATTGTATACCATATAATGTCAGTCTCAGTACAGAGTAAAAGTCAGGAAGATAAGGATGAACAGTCCACATATATATATATATATATATATATATATACAAAATTTATTCATTTACTCAAAATTACAAATAGGATGAGATTGAATGGAAAAGCAAACAAAAAACACGACGGAGAATTCTTTCAATTCTTTCGTTCAATTTTGTAATTAATTCTCAGAAATAATTCGTACTAAAATGATATTAGCACCACGAATAAATAATTGTTGTTCGTTGTCATCATCCTCATCATCAATGTGAATTTTTTCATTTTGTTGATTATCTTGTTTTTCAGTCAAAGGATGTTTTCGACGAGTTTGTAAACTATACCAAAGTGAGCTATAATAAAATAAATGATAATTAACGATAATGATAATAAAAGAAAAATAATACAAAAGGTGAAGTGGTGTAGTGAAGATTGATTTGATTTGTAAATTGTATTCATCATAGACTGATCATCTTATATGGGGGCATCAATGAATAGCACAAAACATGATGCAATTATTATGTGTTGGTATGGGATTTCTTAACAAAAACACACGATTTGATTAGTGATCAAACCCAGAAACTTCAAGTTATACAGTGAATGCTTAATCATGAAGATCGCTGAACTGGTATCCAATGATCTAATTTTATCTTCAGTCTATTTACGATATACTTATAAATGACAATTGTTCCACAACTCCCGACGTATATGAACTTAACTAGTTGAAAAAATGTTAGAAATTATATTATGCACACAGACAGTAAAATATATAAGTTATATGTAAGTGACTAACTTATTTTTCGAAATTGACTTACGGTTTAAATTTTTTTAACTGTATGAAGTCATTTTATTATCTAAGGTGATTTAAAATCAACAACTTTATTAGAGGTGTTATGTTGGAATGAGCTCACTTAAACAGCATCATTTCATTGTGACTTTAGTACAAATATATATCAGATAAAGTTATCGCACTTGATGATATTAATACAAATGGGAAAGAAAATTAACTAAATAAAGAGCTTAATGCATAAGGCATTGATATTTTAAGTACTAAGTACCATATTTGAGACTCAACAAAGGTTACATCTCAACTGACTAGTTACCAAACAGGATGAAAAATGATGAGTTTTGAATTTTAGTGTTTAGCTATAATTCATATATACCAGTAACACTAAGAAATAAGAAAATTTGAGAATTATTCATAATACACATATGACTTAAATAAAAATGAATAAAAATTAGGCAACACAGTTAGAGATTAACAGATAAATTGTTGCTAGCAATAGAATTTAGGATGCGTGTTTCATCTCATTTCGAACTCATTGGTGCCAATCTGCATATCGGAGTTTGAACTGAACACCTTTTATTTCTAACACTAAAAGCGTTATCTATTGAGTTCATATCGCCATTACCTTTAAAGATGCGTCAGGAATTCGGAGTTTGACAACGCCATCATACATAACACCTTTATAATTGAAGTTTACCAACTCAGTGAAATCAGAAGTCAGAAATGGAGAGGTTAGAAAATATATTTGGAAGATTATCGATATATCGAGAAGCGTTTAGTCTAAGTTGATTAGCATTTGCGAGGAATGAGTAGCACCGTGTACCCACTCGTGATCTGGTGTCGATGTGTGACAGAGCGATTTTAGCTAAGTGTGTCCAGTAAAATTAATGAGGTCGGGATCGAAAACTCACGGAACTATTTATTTTGGCGATTTATTTACCGCTACATCTTGTTCAATGGATATGACGTTTATATTATAGATAAAGACGGTGAAGTTCAGGACTGGACTTTGATCACCGTTTTCAGCATATATATATATATATATATATATATATATATATATATATATATATATATATATATACTGCGCAGATTACGTCGACACAGCTATTTTTATCACAAGTTGGACCGAATAAATGTATTATTGCTAGCAGTGGAATGGATACTTAATATTCTATCAAAGCATTTCTCAAGATAAAATTACATATTTACTCTACGAGTAAAATTCCTGAGCATAAAAATATTATCAAACGAAACCACTAAATACGATTAATTTAATAGTTGAAATCACGAGTCAATTAAAGCTAGGCCATCACGGAAAACCTGGAAGCACTGAACAGCCGTTTCGGCCTAGTATGGGACTCCTCAACAGTGAGCATCCACGATCCCACCCGCATGATTCGAACTCAGGAACTACCGAGCGCTTAACCTCTAGATCACTGAGCTGGCCGGCATCTAACGGTGTAAATGTCTAACTTGAACACTTCGTTTTAAAACGTAAAATGTGAAAGAAAAAAAAAACCAAAATTACATGATATAAAACTCACATATCAGACAATTCAGACATATTTCGTTCATTCAAATTAACCATAGATGATGTCCAATTTGACGATTTATGATAAAAACAATTATTATTATTCTCGTCTAAATGATTATGAATATTCACTAAAACACTTTTATCAATCTGATCACATTTTTTGACAGACTGATCATCATGATCATTTGTATCAGATAAGGGGGATTTACCAAGTAGACGAAAAGGTCTCAATCTACTAATTTCATCATCACGTGCTTCTTTTTCCACAATCCCATCTTGATCATGATCACCATACTGATCAGGAAATAATTGTCCGATTTCTAATGGTTGGTCTAATAATATTTATAGGACGTAAAAATAAAAACACATACCAAAGTTAGTGGCACAAAAATGATGTAAAATATAATTTGTAACAGATTGGTTGGTGAACTGAAGTGATGGTACCGCCCCACAACGAAAAGAGAGGGTAAGGAATAATCGGCTCTAAAAATATGACACCTCACTTTGCCCCATGGATTTCCATCACCGGCAGTAACGCCCTAAAAGTCGAGAGCAAGAGTATCAAGCACTGCTTACAAAGGATTAAGTATAACTGGCTCCAATCAGTTGTCCGTCCAGCAAGTTGATTGAAGCTGTGAATGAGAACAACAGGATACCAACTCATTGACCTGAACGTTAACAGCTTGCTTCAAGGTCTGAAGGTCCTCCTTAGTTCGATCCCCCGAAAGATTGTAGATACACACTGTTGAAGAGTCCCATACTGAGATGAAACAGATTCCTATTGTTTCCTAACTTTTAAGCAAAGCCAGTTTGTGATGTGAAACCTCGAAATTCAGTAATCTTCACTAACCCCTATAATAACAATTTTAGTTTGGTTATTCACTAATAATTAAAAATACGTCTGATTTTTAATTAAGATTGATTATAATCATTAACTAGGCTAAATGTCAAGATATTTACAGTGAAATACACCTTGGAATTAGGTGTTTAAAAATGAATTCCATAGAAAAGATTTTAAACACAGTTAATTCATATTCAAACTCATCACTAACTATTAACTCATTTACCAGGTACAGATTTGCGTACTTGGCTTCCAGGCATACCCAAAATGTGCAAAGGTTGATGATATTACCCAGTTGCAAGAGAATAAGGTAGGTGAAGTGGGGTTCGAACCTGAGAATTAGTGGCTGAAGATCAGATACCTTAACTTTTGGGCAACTTCACTCAAACTCATCAAGGAAATAAGTCTTTGCAGCCTTCACAGAAATCCACACTTTCTGATGATTTAAATTTGGTCCCAAGTATTTGATATTCTTCATTCAGTCGACCTTTTCCACGGATTATAAAATTAAGCATTAAATGATAATTAGTGTTTTATTTTAGTTATTAAAGCTGACCACTTGTCTACTGATTGATAGAATAAGGTAAATCCAGGTCTTTTCATATGTATAACTAACAAACGTGTCATTTAGTTAAGTTTAATACATTTCAATACTCGAATTAAATTGAAAACCAACAAATATTCAATCACAATATGGATCATTATATAAAAGACACCAATTTAATACCATATATGCTTAATGTATTTTGTTAGGAAAGAGACTATGTTTATTAACTATAACTTGTACAAATGTGAATCATTAAAATTCACAGTGTTCTGACACTGTATTAATGACATAGTGTTCACTACATCAACATAAGCAACATTTCTTATCTGGTCTATACCATATAATTTGATTTTTTTAAGATATTCACTTATTCGGTATTGTTTTTAGAGACTAAGATCAGTGACTTCTGCAATAAAATGTAGTCTTAATGTGTTACCAAATTAAAATGAAAGTAGATTTGGTTAGTTAACTAGTGCTTTACAGAGATGTTGCATACAGCAAAACTAAGAAGTAGAATCTATTCACAAGATCAACAACAGTTGGTTCGAGCCAGGTTAGTAGATTCAAACTACCGTGATGGAGATCCATGAAATAATTCCAACCAATGGTTGTAGACATTAGACGATATGGCTTGAAATCGATCATACTGAGATGCAAATACATCCACTCTTTATCTTCTAGATACTCCTTAATATATGTCATCTTTATTTCATCATGTCAGTGTTTAGTCTTTTTCATTATTTTATTGCTGTTACATTATTTTAGTTTCTTTGTAATTTATCTCATTCATTTCATCTCATCATGTTTGTATGGTAGAGCTAACTGAACTAATGTATATTTATACCAAGTTCTACGTTTTATTTATTTATTTATTTTAACACATTGATATTGGTACAAGGAGGCACCAAATACATATGCGCCACACAAATATCATTCAATATGTGTGAGGGCTGTGATACTGCCCGGGCGCCCAAACCGAAGCAGGTGGTTTTCTTAAGAGGCCACACCCGGAGGGTGTGAGGGTCTGATCCACAAGGCAGTGGAGCATCGTAGGAAGATGCAGTCCCATGGAAGCCGGTGACCAACAATCAGTTCATACGCCATTTGTTCCCGCAGGATACTGGAGCCCATGTGCACCATTGGTTTGAAATCCGGTTAGAGCGCCGGACATTCGCTTTTCGTCCTCCCATTTTTGTAAACAACAACCCCGCCACGAGAAGGCAGTGAGTAGGACTTCCCTGGCAGAGGCTATATACGCGTGACTATGTGAGAGCATTTCGAGAGGGAGATAGGACTCGAATAAATACATGGATAAAATGAATTATAAATTAACAAGAAACTATACATATTAAAAATAACCTGATAGAAATGATATAATTCAATCATTTAACATAAATATTACAAAAATACATATTTACTATCTTTCAGCTGAACCTCAGTTTGATTAGATGGAGAATGGCATAAATTTGAACATTCTTTCAATTGAAATAAAGCGTTATTATTTCGTTGAAACTTTCGTAAACGTTGTTCCCGTCGCTTTTTACTTCGTCCCGGTTTTCCATTCTGCAAGAACAAATTAAGAAGAATATTTATGATGTGTTGACGAGAATGATAATGATTGGTTAATTGCTTAGTCAGATTTGTAGATAGTTTGACAGGAGTTAGATGAGTTATATATTCTCCTGTCCTTATTATTATTGTGATTGTGTCGGATTGTTATCGGGTTTTGGTGTGGAAATATATTTATGTTCTAGTCAGACTAATCATAGATTCTTGATCTGAATTGTGTTGAAGTCCTGTAGAATAGACACTGAGAGGGAATCTTGTGTAGATATTCGTCTAAGGCACATTGGCGTCCCATTCGTGTAGACGAGGAAACTTTTAGCGTTATAACAATTTAAGATATAATTTTATAACGGAATAAAATTAACGTCATTAAATTAATTAAAAATAGGGGTGTTGTTGTTATTATTGAAGTATGGTTGTACCACATTAACAGTTAACAAAAAAAACTACTTGCAATAAGTTAGTCAGTGGGATTGTAATTTAGTGGTTAAAATGTGTTCGACTTTCAATCAGTAGATTCAAAGTTTTAACTTTATTTTGCCTTTTCAGTTTGGACGACCGGGTAGTATAACTAGACTTTACATTAAAAGTATAACTTGAAACCAAATGTACGAATATGCATTTGATGAGTTACAAAATACAATTTCATCAGTTAGTAAAAACAAAAAAATAGAACCTTAGTACGAATATTCATAGACTGATTTTGTTATATTTGTATCTGAACTCTGAGAAAGAATATTAACAAGATAGCGATTAATATTACATGATAAGATTTTAAGACAAGTCATTGAAAGCTTCCAATTGTATGAAACTTATGCAGGAAGTATTCACCTAGCAACATGTTAAGGTTCAATAATTAGTAAGTTCATGAACTTATACTATGAATCGCTAGTCTTGTTTCTACCTACTTCTATGAGAGAGAGAGAGAATCACTGTAAACATTTATTTTAGTCTATTATGAAACTCTTTTGTTAGTACTTCCTTAGTATGGTTAGATTCCATCCCCAAACTATTTTGACCTGAATTTAATATCTACTTGTATCAGCTTTGATCTACATTGAATCTAATCCTATTTATTATTTATTGTGATTATTTTATTGTTAAATAAATAAGAATAATATTTGAAAGGGTTTTGTGGATATTATAGTAATTTTAATAGTTGGTGTCATGAGTCAAGTGACACTAGACCATCATGACCGTCCAGTGCTTCCAGGTTTTCCATGGTGGTCTAGCTTCAATTTACTCAGGATCTCAACTATTAAAATATGAATAAGTTAGTTTTTATTTTCTAGCTATTGTTCAAGCCTAAGAATTATTTTATTATGATTAATCGACTACAGATATATTTACTTAGGTTTATGCTTAAACAGTGTGAATTTTATAGATATTATTCAGTTGTTTACAATAAAGTAAATGGAACAAGGTTTATGTATGTGCCCTTATGATTTAAAGTCGAATTAAAAGAAATACTTTAAGTTCACACTTTAAACGATATAGGAAATCATGAGGGTGAAGTATCTAAGATATAAGTGCAAGTTAAACTGTAATTCTAATACAAAACCTATGATATTAAGTTAAACAGTTGATATTATACAGGAGAAAATTTGTTGAAATAATCAATGAAATATTCCATGTTTTGAGTAATATACATCAGAATCGGTAAAAGAGTAGATGTATTCACTCAATCTTCCCTTATTATTTCATACATTTTGCAAAGCTAATTTATTCTTTCTTCATGAATCACAATATCTATACCGAATCTTTTCTACTACACCGGATAGCATTACTACTTCAAATAGTTTTAGATTCACCTCGATGATTTCATCTCACTGTGTTGATGTGGAATGAAAACTTGAACCGATATATATGAGCCAGATTCTAGATTAATTACCATCGAATGGCATCAAACAATGTTTGTTAATAAAGAAGTTTCGTTAACTGATAAAATATAATGCTGAGTGTTGTGATGGACGGTGTTCGAAATCTGATACTGGTACACTATGTGCCACGCGCTGCTCCTCCCCGACTACCTAAGCGAGAACACAACAGTGAGTGTGAAAGTGTATTGAACTATCGGATAAAATGCACAAATACTCATTCATATATACCACTCTAATTTTTAGTAAATTGATCCACTTCTTAGCCAATAAAATGCGCTTATCCATAAGGTCACTTCGGACTACCATCGACTGACCTTCTGATTGGCTCTCCATATCACTGGGTAATATGACTGATTAGTCTGGATACCGATTTACATCAACCGGAATTTAATGATCAAAATCACAGTTAAACATTTGGTATCATATTCATTATACATTTGAATCTTAATAACGAAATGTATACTACCAGTGCTTATATTTCTGTCTAGCAATTAGAACTATACTCATGTAAATACATGTGATCCAACTAGATATATTGATCAACAAAATTTTCTAAATTGCTCTCTTGTATTCAAACTAAGGGAATTAAATTAATGCATAAAACTGTGAGTATAGATATGTGAACGTGGTGAAATAAATGTAAAAATCAAAATGATTTATAGGAACAAACAAAACCTACACCTTTCAAAGCTGATTTCGGAAGATGAACAGAATATTCAGTCACATTCTTTAGAATCTAAAGATATTAAGAAAACAATGGAAAATAAGAATATCGATGATACACGATTGATTGATATATATGTATAAAATAACTGATCGGTCATTGAGTAGTACTATATATATACATATATAGTGAACTCCGCCTGGAGCCTCTCCAGGGATTACTGCCGGTCCCAAGCCCGGATAAAAGAGGAGGGTCGGGCATGGGGTTAGCGACCCCTTCCCGTAGAAAACTAACTCGCTAAAAAACGCTGACCAGAAAAATAATTCAAACCATTTAAACTCTGCCCTGGGAGTCAGAAGGTCTTCATTTAGAAGAGTTATGACGCCTCATAGTGAAAGCTGCGTTCCTTTGGAAGTCACGAGGTCGATGCCCCTTCTAACAACCAGAGCAACCATTTATTTAGGTACATGGAATGCTCGTAAAATGTGGGAGACCGGGAGAATTTACAAATTGCCGCATAAATGAGGAGATACAACCTGGAGGTGCTTGAGATCAGTGAAACAGATTGGACGCAGGTTGGACAACAACGACTAGCTTCAGAAGAGCTTCTGTTATACTCCAGCCATGAAGAAGAAAATGCCCCACATACACAAGAAGTTGCATTAATGATTTCCAAACAAGCACAAAATCCACTTATAGGATGGGAATCTCATGAACCAAGGATCATTAAAGCCTCCTTCAAAACAAAGAAAGAGGGCATTTCAATGAACGTCATCCAATGCTATGCACCTACCAACGACTATAGTGAAGACGTTAAAGATCAATTCTACAATAGGCTGCAGTCAATCATCGAGAAGTGCCCAACAAAGGACCTGACCATTCTGATGGGAGATTTCAACGCCAAGGTTGGAACGGACAACACTGGATATGAAGACATCATGGGACGACACGGACTGGGAGAAAGAAACGAAAATGGTGAGAAATTTGCAAATCTATGTGCCTTCAATAAGCTGGTCATAGGCGGCACCATATTCCCACATAAGCGCATACACAAAACCACATGGACTTCACCGGATCACTCTACACAAAACCGAATCGACCATATTTGCATCAACAAAACGTTCAGGAGGACTATAGAGGACGTGAGAACCAAGAGAGGAGCTGATATAGCATCAGATCATCACTTGCTGGTCGCCAAGATGAAATTGAAACTCAAGAAGCACTGGACAACGGGGCAGACAGTATCACAAAAGTTCAATACGGCCTTTCTCCAAGATACTAACAAACTCAACAAATTCAAGATAGTCCTCAGCAACAAGTTCCAGGCCTTTCATGATCTACTCAATGGAGAAGGAACTACTGTGGAGAGCAACTGGAAGGGGATCAAAGAGGCAATCACTTCAAAATGTCATGAGGTCTTTGGCCACAAGAAGCACCACCACAAGGAATGGATCACTGTTGATACACTTGATAAGATTCAAGAAAGGAGGAACAAGAAGGCAGCAATCAATACCAGCAGAAAAAGCCAAGACACAAGCTGAATACACAGAAGTAAACAAGTGATTGAAGAGGAGCATCAGAACTGACAAACGTAAATATGTGGAAGATTTAGCAATGACGGCGGAAAAGGCTGAAAGTGAAGGAAACATGAGACAACTGTATGACACAACAAATAAACTCGCTGGAAATTACCGTAAACCAGAACGACCAGTGAAAAGCAAGGAAGGCGAGGTAATCACCAACATTGAAGATCAACAAAACAGGTGGGTAGAACACTTCAAAGAACTCTTGAATCGACCAGCCCCGCTGAACCCACCTAACATCGCAGTAGCAACCACGGACCTCCCAACCGATGTTGGCCCACCAACAATTGAAGAAATCAACATGGCCACCAGAAAAATTAAGAACGGCAAAGCAGCAGGACCAGACAACATTCCAACAGAGGCACTGAAAGCAGACGTAGCGGTAACTGCAAGGATATTCCACATTCTCTTCAATAAGATTTGGGATGAGGAACAAGTACCAACAGACTGGAAAGAAGGACGTCTGATCAAAATACCGAAGAAAGGCGATCTCAGCAAGTGTGATAACTACAGGGGCATCACTCTTCTCTCAATACCGGGAAAAGTCTTCAACAGGGTATTGTTAAACAGGATGAAGGACTGCGTAGACGCCCAACTTCGTGGCCAACAGGCAGGATTCCGTAAGGATAGATCGTGTACAGACCAAATCGCAACTCTACGGATCATTGTGGAACAATCAATTGAATGGAATTCATCACTCTACATCAACTTCATCGACTACGAAAAGGCATTTGATAGCGTGGACAGAACAACACTATGGAAACTTCTTCGACACTATGGCGTGCCTCAGAAGATAGTCAATATCATACAGAGTTCATATGATGGATTACACTACAAAATCGTGCATGGGGGACAGTTGACAAAGTCGTTCGAAGTGAAGACCGGTGTCAGGCAAGGTTTCTTACTCTCACCCTTTGTCTTTCTCCTGGTGATCGACTGGATCATAAGACGTCAACATCTGAAGGGAAGCACGGGATACAGTGGACATCTAGGATGCAGTTGGACGATCTAGACTTCGCAGATGATCTGGCCCTTCTATCCCAAACGCAACAACAAATGCAGGAGAAGACGAACAGTGTGGCAGCAGCCTCAGCAGCAGTAGGTCTCAATATACACAAAGGGAAAAGCAGGATTCTCCGATACAACACGGCATGCACCAATATAATCACAATCGACGAAGATTTGAGGGATGTTAAAACCTCTACATATTTGGGCAGCATCATTGATGAACATGGTGGATCTGATGCAGATGTGAAAGCGCGGATCGGTAAAGCGAGAGCAGCATATTTACAACTGAAGAACATCTGAAAATCAAAACAATTGTCAACCAACACCAAGGTCAGAATTTTCAATACAAATGTCAAGACAGTTCTACTGTATGGGGCGAAAACATGGAGGACTACGAAAGTCATCATCCAAAAGATACATGTGTTTATTAACAGTTGTCTACGCCAAATACTTCGGGTCTGTTGGCCAGACACTATTAGCAACAACCTGCTGTGGGAAAGAACAAACCAGATCCCAGTGGAAAAACAAATCAAGAAGAAGCGCTGAAAGTGTATAGGACACACATTGAGGAAAGCACCGAACTGCGTCACAATACAAGCCCTCACATGGAATCCTGAAGGTCAGGGGAGGAGAGGAAGACGGAAGAACACATTACGCCGAGAAATGGAAATAGACATGAGAAAAATGAACAAGAATTGGGTGGAACTAGAAAAGAAGGCTCAGGACAGAGTGGGTTGGAGAATGCTGGTCGGTGGTCTATGCTCCATTGGGAGTAACAAGCATAAGTAAGTAAGTAAGTAATATATAGCGAGAAGCCGTGACAAGTGGAGTTCAACCGGGTCTGTTGTGTGATAGTAACTCACTGAAGACAATGGTAAACGGTGGCGCAATTTTGTGGATTGGTTGACGCCACACATTAATACTATTGGATGCCGGGCGGCTCAGTGGTCTAGAGGTCAAGCGCTAGCGCACGAAACCGATAGGTCCGGGGTCCGAATCCCGCGAGCGGGATCGTGGATGGGCACTGTTGAGGAGTCCCATGCTAAGGCGAAACAGACATCCAGTGCTTACAGGTTTTCCATGGTGGTCTAGCTTTAATTGACTCATGAATTCAACTATTTACTTACTACAATCTCCACATAAACCCCATTCTGATAAAAACTATACATATTTTAGTGTTTTTTTGTGCCAATATTTATGTGTTTAAATGAATAAATAAATAAACTTAAAGCTCGCCAGTTCATAAATAACCTTGTGATTAATTTCTCACAGTATTGTCTCTTTATCCAAATATAGAATATAATAATTACTTAAATGTATATGGGAAATTATGATACTTTGAAATTGTCAGTTCAAAATTGAAAATTTGCGAAGATTTAAACAAGTAACATTGTTAAAACATGAACTATTTTAAATTTTATAGTTAACAACATGGACTAACCTTATGTTAAACAACCATTGAAAACTAGGAAACGCTAGAGACAATAACAAAGGTTAGTAATTAATGTAAACTATAATATTCAAAATATTCTCCACAAACCCAATATATTAATATTTCAATTAATAACTTATAATAATATTTATGATGTTATAATAACTGATCTAGCAATTTAAAACGAAGATGTTTTGTAGCTAGTAATGGAATTCAAGATGTGCATTTCGTCCAATTTGGGACTTATCATCAACTCTGGAAGTAATTGTATACCATGGTTTAACTATTTATTCAATCCACTACAAAGTACTTGTATTGTTTCAATTCAAAATGAGTTGTTTTCGTTGCTGTACATGTATATTTCTTAAAGTTAAAACAATCATACAAATTTCATGATAAATTGACTATAGTTTCTAAAGATAAGTAGTTGGAATACGTGTAAATTATATAATTAACAAATAAAGAAATAAAATAAACTGTAAATTAATTAAATTTGGAATATATTCCATTTTTGGTAATATTAAATGAAGTGGGTGCGCACTGCTGAGGAGTCCCATACTAGGACGAAACGGTCGTCCAGTGCTTCCAGGTTTTCCATGGTTATCTAGCTTCAATTGACTCATGATTTCAACCAGTGAAATTTCTAAAAATCTCCACAAAACCCATTCTGAAGTATGATCAGTTTTATTTGGTATCTATGTTTATCCAATATGGATTGTATCGATACAATAGCCGATTATGACATAAATTTATGCAGAACAGATAAATTGTACATGTTTTTTTATTTTAAAAAATTAATTAATTTTCACTTACTAAATTCCAATAACGATCAAAAGCAATTAAATTGCCAATAATTGAAGCACGAGGCTCTTTTAAACCACGAGTCATAACCATTATTTGACTTTGATTTTGCATAGCTTTCCATAAACTAGCCATAGGACTGAAAATACGTTGCTGTTGTCTATGTGAATGGGAGCGATGTACACCGTAATGGATTTGCTCAGGATCAAAACCTTATTTATTATTAATGCGAATAAAAACAAGCATGTTAATAGGAAGTGAGAAAGCAACACAGTATAAATAATACAGTATTTATTACAATTGATGAAGGCTTGTTTGGAGGATCATTTAATAAAAACATTGAACTTGTCATTACTCGAAATTGCTATGTTGATGCATCAACTGAATTTTGAAATCAACTATAAATCAGTCCACATGATTCACTAATATGCTTGAAGGTTGATCTTTTTCATGGTCATGTAAAAATCACGGAAATAAAAACTCTCGTAACGTCTAATCTTCTTTTTGTGTATTTGTACACGATTCTTCATTATTGAAATGCCACTGTATATTGGCCGTGTGTGAGGCAGCAAACCACCAAAGACAATGGAAGATAGTTGAGCAGTGTCGTAGATTGATTGAAATTAGATATTAACACCGTCAGTAGGTTAGAGACGTGTGACGCCGAAGGTCTTGGGTTTGACTCCCACTTGCGGATGCTCGTTTATGAGGAGTCCCATACAAGGATGAAACAGCCGTCTAATACTCCCAGGTTTTCAAAGGTAGCTCAACAATGATCAGTTCATAATTTCAATGAAGCTCAACAATCTCCACAACCCTATACTGACAATTATCATGCGCTCACTCACTAGTGACTAGCTACGAGAGGAAATCCCCAGAGTTCTGGTAAGAAGCTGTGACTAGTGGGGCTAAACCGTGTCGGGTGTAAGGTAGTTAGTTACCCACCACAGACGTCCGTTTTTTAATTTGTTAAATCATTTTAGATTTGTTCATATATGAGTAGTAGTAGCATCGCTTGTATTTTTTTTACCAATCCAACAATAAAATGCAATAACTGCTGCAGTTACTATCTAACAATATCAGCTTCAATTAATTTTGGCCTACCAAGAAGCGACCTATTTCTACGTTTATAAGTGCACTGGGTATATAGGAAGATAAAAATAGATAAAACAAATATAAATCATCAGACCCGTGAATAAGAATTTACGCAAAACAAAATTATTCAGAATGATGATAATTTCTAGACCCAATATTAACGATGTTCCAATGGCAAAACACAAGTATCCACTCCTATTTTCCATAGAGCAGAAGCCTTCGTAAAAATGTTTGTCTGTACATGTGGTATAGTAACTACCAACGTATAGTGTAGATTTATATCATTATGTATTTCCCATATTTTAAGTGAGGACTTTAACAACTTCACTAAATACATTATAGCTAGTCCACCCAAATGTGACTCAAATTCCAGTGAGTGAGTCGGTACGTGATAAATCAGTTACGTTGCTTATTTAAAAAATATACATAGAACTAAAAAAACCTGCCACACACTATTCCAGTATTTCAGCAATGATCTTGTCCGTTTACTCTTTGAAACAGATAGGTTGTTAGTTAATTTCGGTATGACATTTTCACTTGAGCGCACAGAAAATGAATTGCTAGCCTAATAAAAATGTTCAAGAAAAAGATAAAATTTACTAGAGTACCTATACAGCCTTCGTAATTAGTAATAATTATGATGACTAACAAACAAAGAAAGTTTAAGGGAATTCGAGGAGGCAGATCTAATTTATTACAGAATGATATAAGGTACCTATGAAAACGAAGGAGCACTGGAAAGCTGTTTGATCACAGTATAGGACTCTTCCGCACTGAGTGCTCACCACCGCCCCATAGATCAAACTCAGGATTTCCAGTCCTTATTGGTTTTTAATTGTACCCTGAGATCAATCTGTGACACATATGACCTACAAACAACGAGATTTCAACGTTGAAACCACCTATTTTATAAAATGACATCGAACAAGGTTTATAGCCTCATCTCATTATTCAAAAAGATATCGTAATTGTTTGCGCAATGATGGTTACAAGACTTGTCAACAGTTTTACAGTATTAACGAGGTAACTTTACTCAAAATAGACGCACAAAATTATTTTCCAAGAAAATATCAAGTTACAAATTCGACGATTATGTAGCGCGATGGTTTGAAGGTCAAAACGAGCGACTTTCAACCACGAGAAGTTGGGCCATGCTCCTTTTCACTTAACTCAGTTCATGCAACCAAATACTAGTATCACTACCATATGAATAAAGTAGAACGCGAATAAGGGTATATAAATTCGTACTTGATATATAAATTCATATCCCTTCTACTATAATTCTCATTCTGTGTATTCTTCAGTTTACTGTGCCAAAGTGAGAACTTGAACTGACACACGTTTGGGTCAGGCTCCTAGCGGTTTTCAGTTGCCTGGATAAAACCGTTATATATATATATATATATATATATATATATATATATATATATATATAATATTCGGGCCTCGAAATTTGGAAAGCTATGAAGTTGGACGGATGTGTAATGCCTGTGTTATTATAATGTCTACGGAAATGTCACGATTTTCAATACCTAGAAATATTTTTCAACGCAATGTTGGTCATTAGAAAATACACAGTGACTCCTCAACATGATGTTTTCATCGCCGTTTTAGCCCGGCGAAAACCTGGGACTAACATGAGTATTGTTAATATTCTCTTCTGATTGTTACTTTCCATTAAGGAACGTTTTGTTTGCAAGACACTAGGTTTGATCAGCGTGTCTCTAATATTGTTGCCAAATGTTCAGGGTTTCTTAAATCTTTTTTTCAAATAAACTACGGTTGAACGAAAAGTCTTTGTATAATATGTGGAATCTACAGAAAAATGTTACTGTTGTATTAAGATGCCTAGATACTTCTGCACAGGTTCGTACAATAATAAGATAGGACTTATATTTTACAGATCTAGCTATAAATGTAAGAGTAGACAGATAAATTAGCAAGGATAATAACAATAATAGTAACCTCTTGTCAATTAACTAAGTTGCCAGATTCAGGTTTGTGTATTCAGCTTCTAACCAGTGATATTATCCGGTTGTCCAAACAGAAATGGGACTCGACTCTGAAACCTAGTAGCCGAAAATCGGACGCGTTTACTACTGGTCCGCAGACCCACTACTGTGATCAGTACAGTATGGCTTCCAATGTTCAATAACATGAGAACCTTATGATTCACAGTTATAGCCATTTTATTGACAAAAGGTTACTACGTTAAACAATTGCTACAATGGTGTGAACAAGTCAATATGAGTGGGGATTTTTTTACAGGTTTTACAAGAAAGTGCTGTTAAAAAAGCGATTACTTTTTGCAAACACGAAGAAATCCCTATACATCTTATGTTGTCTCAGTTATCACTCCTGATCATGAGTTCAATAGGACGACAGCCTAATAACTGATACATGTAATGTTCTCAAACTATGGATCACGGAATGAATTAATAGTTTGAACATCTTAGTATACAAGATGTATTATTTTATTTCTCCTATACAGTAAGGATGAAAACATCTTAAAATTAATAACGTTGCTCTCAACATAAGTACGATCAGACAATCGAAAATAATATTAACAAATACAATATGTTGCATGTAATATATTTATTTAAGCAATCATACCTCCCTCTACCTTACATTTAGGTAAAAACAATCCAGATTAACTGTTAACAACGCAGACTTGACAAAAAAACAAAGATATATTCTAACGAACGCATAAAAAAGACAAATTGCCAATATATAATAATTCTTACTTCAAAAGTATACACAAAAAATATTCAAGAAAACAGAACGTAAACCAAATTAGAATTCAGATTAATGCATAATATTTGTAGCTATTTCTAATTTGGCTGATAACAACAAATACTTGGCAGAGGGCATTTTTTTAGAGGAAAGAGTAATAGAAAACATCACCTGTACTTTATTTCCACAAAAATGATATGTACATATAAGAGTATTGCAACGAACTGTACTCAACTGAAATTAGGAAGATTGCTGTAACTGATTACTCTGAGTTAAAGTAAAAATTTGTTATTTATTCTAGAATTATTAGGCATAATATATTTATGGGCTTTTCCATACTGTCTTTGTCATACACTATTGTTGCAAACATCAAGTCGAATTCTGTTGACGATAACAATGAGACGGATTATCAGACGCCTTGAATGGCTTTGTGAAAGGGGTAGGCAGAAGAGCAGTAGAATTTAAACGGGGGACATTAATTGTTGGTAGATTGAACGAATCGGACTGTTTATCTTGCCACTTCCTTTCAGGTAGCGAATTGTTAGGACTAGATCGCGCAGAACCATTATTTTTCAGATTTAAGGACTGCTCACTATGTTGTGAAGAATACCATTTCCTGTCTACGAAAGGCTGATTACATTCATATGCGGTAACACACGAAGTTTTAATAAATGATTGATTTCCAGTAAGACAGTATTCTTTCCGTATAGAATCCATTTGAACTCGTGGCAAGTAAGTTCGGTAGTCGACATCTTTGTTGGATGACAGATATCTCTTCTGGTAAGCGTGAAGTGATCCCTTTTCATTATCAGCAGGGTTGGTCAAATTTATACGCAAATCTATATCCTTCGAAGAGATTGTGGTTTCCGAATTTGTTTCTATCATTGTTTTTAATTTGGCTTTCTGAACTAATAGGTGTGATAATGAAAGCGATTATTCATTATGTATTTTAAATAAACAGATTCATAATTTTAGAAGATATACCAAAGAAAACATTCTAAAATAAATGAATCTAAATAGTGAGATGCTTCGTATATAAAAAGATAAATGACTATCGGTAATAGGCATCTAAAAGTCCCTTGTTCTACTATACAAAGTGATTAAACCCGTTAATAATGTATAGAAGTTAAAGAACTGCAATACTGTGTACCGCTTAAGGCTGCCACTGAGAAAGTGTTTAGGAGTTAATTCTATAACAATGGAGGAATTTAGGATACAAATGACTGATTAAGATATTCAGAGTTTTTTCACAAGGCCAAAAATGTATTTTCTATTCATAAATATTTGTCTTATTTTTCATCGTCAAACGATCGTAAAAATCGGGTTGACTAACTGCTCATGGTTTAACACTATTGGTTTTCGACCTAATATCTCGGTTCGAAGAATGTTGTTTATACAGCTCATATAAATCTAATTTTTTGAAAGATATTATTTCAAAATAGCTTGAGATTCGCGGATAATTTATTGGCTTGGTGTTTGCTACTAATACCATGAGGGTTGTGGCAAGCTGTGTATCAACCTAACTAACTAGGGCCAGTAGTGTAGTGTAACATCTAACCGGGGATCGATTTTCACAAATTCTCTTAAGCTTTTTATAAATAAAACCCATTTTCGCAAAACAAAAGCCGGATAAAAATTATTCATATGATTAACCAACTAGAAACATAGAGTAGTTTATTAAAGTATACTTTGTTGACCTAGGACGCCAAATATATTACGCCATTTATTTAAAATCCCAAGTAGCTGAGAAAAATATAAATTATGGTAAGATCTTATCCCTCAAAATAACAAAAAAACTACCTCATATAACTTTAACATATTCCGATAAAAGCCTAGTTTACTGTCTTGACGGTACAATTACTTCTTCTATTCAAGTCCTGTAGAATTCAAAAAGTGTTGAAGGCATTGAAGCCTTGTCGTGATACATAGAAAATATCAAACTGCTTTATACTTAAGCAAATGATTACCTAGGATTATCTGTAACAAGAAACACGCTATGATATTACCCACAGAAAGACAGACATACAACTCACCAATTTCGAAGTAGGCGTTATATTTAAAAGTGTTGATAAACTAGTTCGACGCAGCTGGATGAGACCCCCCTCCACAACGTCAAGGTTGAAGTGCGTGGGCAGGGCGTTTTCGGCCGGGAAAGTCACGTGCTCGATTGAAGTAAACGCTTAGGATTTGGCAAACTGCATGTTTTACTGCAGAATATATCACCAGCTATATCAGACTTGAGTGCGAACATTGTGCAACCAATGTCTAAGTTTGATGATCGTGAAGAACTACGGAAACTTAATACTGTACTATCAAGTCTGCAGTTCTCCTTTTCATCTGAAGAGGAACTGTGAACGTTGAATGCGTCTGTTTAGTAAGAAGATATGAAGGACAAATCTGTAAGTCTACTAAATTCATTGGATTATTCATTTACATTCCAAACGGCCATGGTGACGCGGCTAATGGATAGTAATTCGAAAACGTCTACGTGTTATATTTTATTATTCGTCATGACACTCGAATATGCCAGCCGTTCCACAATACTAGGCACTACATCGAAGAGTACTTCAGAGGTGTAAGTTTTATAGCAGCGTACAAAGTCAGAATATTTTTTACCTTCTAATCACTAGATGCACTAAAATCACTGTTCTTATCGTCATCTGTCAAAGAAAAACAACTAGCTAAACTGTATGACAAGGCGACTTAAGGGTACTTTCGCAACATAAGAGACGAAATACAAAAGCGTCACGGAAGAAAACCAGGACATGTATGTACCAATTTGAAGTTATAACTTTAATGCTGTTCTAAAATGCAGTGTTCCTTATTAGTGAACGTAACCGTAAGTCATACTTTAGGTTGATAGTTGTTTAATAAACTATGGCAGTTAGACATCGTTGTAAATTTGTGTTTATTCAACTACAAAATTGACAGGAAGATTATTTTGGTTCAAAATGGTAACACTGAAGTTTAAGAAAAGTTATTATTGAAATGCTTTTTATGTTCAATAAAGCTTTTAGGTACCATGTACCGGATTCCTAACTTGCACGTGGAACTCTTGAACTAATGAAGTGTACGTTGTGAAAGTTTGTTTGATTTTACATACACTTATCCATTAGGACACATTCTTACACAATAATTTATTACCTCTAATTACTTTCGCAGGTCTTTGCAAATGACACTAGGACTTTGTACTTACGATGAGAATAAGCAACAAACAGTGCTTGAGCATCTGTGTTATTATTTCCCGGAGTGAAATGTAGTGTTATTTATTGCTAATATTTTTAACCATGTACAATATTTTAATAAGGTCAATTGTAGTCCTCATCTGGTTTGTTATGGAAATAAAGGCGAACATAGGAGACATTCGGAGTTAGGTTGGAGGTAGAAAATAAAGCGTGTAACCAAGGTCAAAGCAAAAAGAGGTTGGTGAGTGCTTAGACGAAAAGTAGGCTATTTGGTGAGCATTTCGACGAAGATTAGACAATTCAACGACGTTTCGGACATAGAGCGACAAAAAGAGTAAGTTTCACATTACTTATCCATGAAAAGAGTTAAAGGAGGCTTCTGGGAGCGTTTCCCATTCACTTTTTCTTTGTTTCGTAACGGAAAGTTCCTTTAATTTCTTTATTGTCCCTCTTTATTCTCCCTTTATCAGTTGATTGGGTTATAACCACAGAATATGAAGCCAGCTGATCCATAGCAGAAACTTAAACCAGAAGTTAATTAAATCCCTCCATCTAAGAAATCGAAAGATTTCAGAGAATGTAAATCATGAATACACATTTAATGTCGCAGCTTAAATCTCAGTCTCTAATTAAAACCATATCATGATAATTATTCAACATAGTGGACGTAAAAATGACCGTCAATGCTAGCGACAACACACTTATTTAACGCGACAACAGCGAGTAAGACAACATGTGGACACTATTTTGAATACTTTCAAGGTCGTGTTTACTTTCAGTTTCTTGTTACTGCACTCAATATCCTAGAGAGGCACTAATGTAAGGTAACTAGTTTCTTTGCCAACCGTGCAGACTTTAAAACATAATTATTAATCTTATGAATAGTTTCATCACCGAGGAAAATACAGCTTTATGGACTTCATTCGCTCAATTCAAGAGAGTTGAACAGAGTTACTAGATCAGATGCTTTGAGGATTAGTGCATATGCTGTCACTCTCTTGTCCAAGCACACATTTAAAATATCACACACCAACATGGCTTCCGAGGCGTAGTACCTAGTATTCATAAAATTATATATGAACGATTATAGACTCCTTTATTTGCTTGACGATCTGTGGAGATAGGCATGACAAATTTATTTTGTAAATCGTTTTTGATGTTACTTGTATTTATTCTGTAATTTTTCACAGCCTGTACATTTATCATTGAAAGATTGTTCATGTTGTTTAAGTGTATGGCCTAGAACACACTTCCTTCCGTCGTGTTACACTCATCTCATGACACACGCATCGTGATACACACATCTCTTATTCTCCACTGTTCATTATTGTGATAATTGAACTCTAAGTCACCTACTGTCTACACTTATAGACTGCAGCCAAATTTATATTATATTCTACGTTTGGCTATATCACTGGAAAGACAACAATCTTACTGGAACCATCAATCATCAATAATTGTGGATTCTGGTACCAAACTCAACATGAACACGCACAAACCATCTGGATTAAGTAACGTCCCTAATTTTTTATTGTGTTTATAACGTTTAACTGATATATAAACATTACTGTTTGTACTCAATAACTCTGTCCCTCTTTTTGAGTTTATATGCTGTTTGGTCCTCCACATATCCCCATCGTATTAAAAGACTGATATTTGAACGAATAATGTTTTTTTCGATAAATTTTCTTCCGGTTCTACAATAATACATCCAAACAAACAATCCGAAAAATTGCCAGTTGTCATAATTTTGAGTATTTGTATTATAGTACAAATTAAAAATCTTAGAAATCATGCATTTGGATCAAGACGTATTAGATGAGCACGAACGAAGGTGTTGTATTTGGAATTAAAAACCAAGGATTTAACAAGTACAAAGGAATCGTTAGTTCATGCAATCATCACATTTGACACAACTTTAAATGGCGTCTAAATTTCTGTGATTGATTATACGTCTTCTACTTAGGTTCTTCCTGTTTCATTCCGACATCCTATCGGATAAAGACTCTGTATAATCTACACTGCACTCACTAGTATTAGGATTAACAACTGAAATTGGAACAGATTCACCTGGTCCGTCGAACTGTATTTGATCAACAAGTCATTTGTGTATACTTAAGTCATTGATATCTAGAATTAGCACCATAGACTTGCCAACATTATTCACCACGATCCCTATGGCTAGTCGAAGATCATTCCCACGATAATGTGAAACTTTTGTAGGCTCTAAACACCTCATATTCCACGGAAGAATTCTTCCTTTTAATAGCTCCATAATTAAAACCACATCAGCTGAGGAAATTGCCAAGGCTGAAGAACAAACTGTAAAGCTTCATGGTCAATAACAATAGTGAACGTCTCTCAAAATAAATATTAGTGACGTTTGACAGCCCAAAACTCGGCTAATACTTCGCACTGTAAATAACCATGTTGAACAACAGTAAGTTTGAGTGAAACACAGATTACTGGTCTACTTTCCCGCTCCGAAACCGCACCAATACTCACTGTTAATGCATTAGTATGAAGTGCAGAATGTACACTAGGAGAGTAAGTTCGAAGAACAGCATCACTTGGAAAAACCTTTAATAGATATCGAGGGCATGACTCTTGTTCTTCACTACATTTAAATGTCTTACGAACTACTCTTCTGGAAGACCATAAGGATTTATTCATCCCTTGAGTAAGACTGGGTCACCCTGT